CAAAAATCTCTCTAAAAGGGGGGGATGGAGGAATGTACTTACTCATCAATAGTTTTATTTTTAAAATTTTATTTATTTATTTTAATTTGACCAGAGAGGGACAGAGTATGAAAGAAAGTGAGAAAGCAAGCCAGCAGGTCTGAACTCGAAGCACAGTCGGTCCTGTGGGAGTCCATTGCCCTTAACCACCACGCTACCTGCTGGCCCCAGTAATTATTTTATTTAACTTTATTTTTTCAAAGAATTATTTATTTTATTTGTTATTTTTTAATTTGACCAGAGAGAGAGAGAAAGGGAAAGTGAGAAAGCAAGCTGCCAGATCTGGGACTCAAACCATGGTTGACCATGTGGGGGTCCAGCACCTTAACTACTGCACCATCTGCTGGCTCCCATTTATGTATTTTTATCTTGACCAGAGAGGACCAGAGCGAGAGAAAAAGAGAGAGTGAAAGAAATTGAGAAAGCAAGCCATCAGATCTGGGACTTGAGCCACACGCTGTTGGCCTAGTGGGAGTCTAGTGCCCGTTTTATTTTGGGACCAACAGACAGTGTGGTAGTTACATTGCTGGACTCCCACATAGTCGACTGCATCTCAGGTCCTACACCCGGCTCAGGGGGCAGATGTGCATGTGTGCCCAAAATCTCAAGAGGAGATTGCTGTGTGGACATTCTCCCTAGGGGGTGATTTCTCACCTTTTTTTTTTCTAAAGAATTATTTATTTACTGGGAACCAGCAGTTAGTGTAATGGCTATGTCGCTGGACTCCCACGTAGTTGACCGCAGTTCGAGTCCCGGACCCGGTGGCTTAAAACCCAGGCCGGGTGCATGTGCGTGCGTGCCCAAGATCCCGAGAGGAGAATGGAGGAGAAGGGATTGCGGCATGGCCATCCCCCCTGGGGGGTGATTTCTCACTTTCTGTCTCTATGTCTCTCTCTGTCTGTCTGGCGAGCGCATGCACCCTATAGCTAAAAAACCTCTCAAAAAAAAAAAAGAATTATTTATTTATTTTCATCATTCACTCATTTTATTTTTTAATTTGACCAGATAGATACACAGTGAGAGAGAGAGAGAGAAAGAGGGAAAGTGAGAAAGCAAACCACCAGGTCCAGGACTCAAACCATGGTCAGCCATGTGGGAATGTGCAGCGCCTTAACCACCACGCCACCCGCTGGTCCTGATTTCTCGCTTTTCGTCTCTCTGTCTCTGTCTCTCTGGCGAGTGCATGTGTCCTATAGCAAAAATCTCTTGCTCAAAAAAAATTATTTTATTGGGACCAGCAGTTAGCATAATGGCTATGTCGCTGGACTCCTACGTAGTCAACCGCGGTTCGAGTCCCGGACCTGGTGGCTTAAACTCACGCCGGGCATGTGTGCGTGCGTGCCCAAGATCCCGAGAGGAGAATGGAGGAGAAGGGATTGTGGCATGGCCATCCCCTCTGGGGGGTGATTTCTTGCTTTCTGTCTCTATGTCTCTCTGTCTGGCGAGCGCACACGCCCTATAGCAAAAACCTCTCAAAAAATTATTTTATTTAACTTTATTCGTTATCATCATCATCATCATTTCTAAATTTAGCCAAAGATACAGAGTGAGAAAGCAAGCTGTCACGTCCAGGACATGAATTGCAATCAGCCATGTGGGAGTCTAGTGCCTTAGCTACTGCACCACCTGTTGGCCCCATAAATAAATAATTCTTTTATTTATGTTTTATTTATTTAGAAAATCACAGGATTGGGGCTGGCAGGTGGCATGGTGGTTATAAAGGGGGTTGGACTCTCACATGGCTGACCACAGTTTGAATCCTGGACCTAACTTGTTTCTCACTTTTCTCTCTCTCTCTCTCTCTGATCAAATTAAGATAGATAGATAAAATAAAGTTAAAAAGAGACACAGGATTTTGGTAATCTCACCAGAGAGGACAGGACTTGGCAGGATAGGGGAGTGAATTCTGACAGGATAGGTAGGGAGGAGGCCGGCGATGAGTGGAGTTCTATAGGACCACGGTGATCAAGTCCCCACACAGAAACATCTGGAGATGTAATAGTTCTTGTTGACTGGCTTGGACCTCTTGCCTTTGACACTGTTAGGGATCTCGGTCCACACCTTCCCGTCACCCAGCACCATGTTTGCAGTGCCTGTCGAAGGCTTCCCGGCCCAGGAGTTTCCTGTCACGGCAGATGATGAGTACTGGGGTGTGTGCTTGACTGACTGTGACCTCGTGTTAAACTCCTCCTCCTCCCACTTGTGTAGCTCCCCTGGAGTTGTATTCTTGGGCTCATTGAGGCTCATGGTTGCGACTGCACTCTCATCACTCCTGTCTCCTCCATGTTGCTTCAGCCTCTCAATAAATAATTATTTAAAAAAAAAACAAAACTTAAGGAAAAAAACAAAACTAAACTACAAATTACCTTGTTTCTTTTTCTTTTTTTTTTGGAGAGGTTTTGCTATAGGGCAGGAGCACTTGCCAGAAAGACAGCAGAAAGCAAGAAATCACCCCCCACAAGGGGGATGGCCACGCTGCAATCCCTTCTCCATTCTCCTCTTGGGATCTCGGGCATGCACACACATGCGCCCAGCATGAGTTTAACCCACTGGGTCTGGGACTCGAACTGCAGTTTTCTACGTGGGAGTCCAGCAACATAGCCATTATGCCATCTGCTGGTCCTACCATGTTTCTTTTGTAAATATTTTCTAGTAATGTTTCATTTGTTAGCTCCCATTTTTATAAGTTTAGTTCTTCAGGTCACTGTTGGGAGACTTGACTGCTTGGCAGCTGGCTGTCTTCACTGTCCTGTTAGTTATTTACCTGTTCATATTAGCCAGGGGATGTGTCAAGAAAGCCCCCTTCTCGGGGTATGGTCACCTCGCTGTCCCTTCTCCTCTGTCTCTCCACCTTTTTGGGATTTGGGCACTCATGCATACATGCCTGGTGTGTGGTTTTTTGTTTTATCATTTATTTATTTATTTTGAGAGGTTTTTGCTATAGGGTGCGTGTGCTCGCCAGAAAGAGAGAGACAGACAGAAAACAAATCATCCCCCAGGGGGATGGCCACGCCGCAATCCCTTTTCCTCCATTCTCTTCTCGGGATCTTGGGCATGCATGCATATGCGCTCGCTGTGAGTTTAGGCCACCAGGTTCAGGACTCAAACTGCAGTCAACTACATGGGAGTCCAGCGACATAGCCATTCCACCAACTGCTGGTCCCGCCTGGTGTGTTTTGCAAGTCACCAGGTTGGGACTCAGACCGCACAGTCAGATGTGGGGTCTAGCTTGTAACCACCAGGCCAGAGGCTGCCTGTCACCCTGCACTGAGTGCACTCAACCACCATGGTGCTCCCTGGGCACAGGGGTGCCCTCAGACCCCAGCACGGAGGCCCCAGCCGTGTTCCCTGTGAGGAGGCCAGCTAGAATGTCCGAGGCATCGGTTTACCCAGCACCGTGCCGAGCTTAGTCTGGTAGTTCCTGCGGGGATTTTGGTTGCTGTGGGAGCCCTTGTTGATGTGCAGTCCTAAGGTGTTTGTCCTTTTGTGGCTGACTTATGTTGCTGTGTATAATGTCCTCAAGGGTCATCCGTGTCGTAGCGTGTGTCAGAATTTTTTTCCTGTACAGATAAACTGTGTTTCGTTTACCCATTCATCTTCCATATGGCGGCTTCTGCCTTTTGGCTATGAAGCTGCTGTGAACGTGGGTGTTGAAACCTTGTGTTTTCAACATAAGCATATGTTGTGGGGGCAGCAGGTGGCCTGGTGGTTGAAGGCGTTGGACTCCCACATGGCTGACCATGGTTTGAGTCCCAGACCTGGCAGCTTGCTTTCCTGCTTTCCCTCTCTTTGTCTCTCTCTCTGGTCAAATTAAAATAAGTAAATAAGGGGCTGGCAGGTGGCGTGGTGGTTAAGGAGCTGGATTCCCACATGGCCAATGGCGGTTCTAGTCCTGGACCTGGAGGCTTATTTTCTCGCTTTCCCTTTCTCTCTCTATCTCTTTCAGGTTAAATTAAAAATATACATATAATAACAAATTAAATTAATTACAGAAATAAATAATTCTTTTAAAAATTAAGTAAGTAAATAAAATAAATTTTTTTTTTGCGGGGGAGAGGTTTTTGCTACATGGTGTGTGTGGTCGCCAGAGAGAGACAGAAAAGTGAGAAATCACTCCCCGGGTGGATGGCCACACTGCAATCCCTTCTCCTCCATTCTCCTCTCGGGATCTTGGGCATTTCATGTACATGTGCCAGTGTGAGTTGAAGCCGCCAGGTCTGGGACTCGAACCATGGTTGACTACATGGGAGTCCAGCAACATAGCCATTACGCCAACTGCTGGTCCTTAGATAATTCTTTTTTTTTTTTTTTTTAAGAACTATTTTTATTTAATTTTATTTATTCATTCATTTATTTTAATTTGACCAGAGAGAGAGAGAGAGAGAGAAAGTTAGCCATCAGGTCTGGGATTCAAACCGTGGTCAACCATGTGGGAGTGTACAACCTCTTCACTATACCACCTGCTGGTCCCGATAAAGAATTCTTAAAAAAAAAAGAATACGTTGTGAGGTGTTTTCCTCATGGCTGCTGTGCCCGTGGGTACCTCCCGGCACAGGGCTGGTGGCACTCCTGGTGCTCCCTGAGCCCAGGCACATGCTCTGGGAGAGCATCTGCACAGAGCCGTCCTGGTGGGATCCATGGCAGCCAGTGCTGAGCCTGAGCAGTGCTGAGAGGGGCCGGCTGTCAGTGAGCCCTCTTAGAAGGTTGTTACCCCTGCCCCCCTTCCCTCGTTCACAGCACCCCTAAGGGAAGGCGCACCTGTGCTGAGGTGCTTTCCCCTGTCCGCTCACTGCCGACCCTTGGTCTCCCTCGCAGCCCCCCTGGCCACGGAGAGGAGCCCTACCTCACTGAGGCGGGAAGAGGTGCCTTCGACAGGTTCTGCAGGCTCCGCCAAGGCGAGCTGCAGCTGCTGGGCGGTGGTGCCCTGCAGGCCCCGCAGCCCCTGGTGGTGAAGGAGTGCGAGCTGGTGAAGGATGCCCTGAATGTCCTCATTGGGGTCGTGTCTGCCACGTTTTCCCTTTGCCAGGTGAGAAGTGCACCCTGAGGGTCGTTGTCATGGGAGCAGCTGTATTTCACGGCCCAGGCTCCACCAGGCACTGTCAGCATGATGGGGACGGGGATGGGGGACTAGGCCCAGGGCAGTGCGTTGCAGGAAGGCTGGCACTGTGGCTGCAGGTGACTCTGGCAATTCCATTTTGGTTCTGAAAATGTTAATTTGTTAGTGATTTTTTAAAAACGAAACAAAAGTAGGGCCAGCAGGTGGTGTGGAAGTTAAGGCAGCTGGACCCCACCTTGCTGGTTACGGGGGTTTAAATCCCAAACGTGGTGGCTTGAAAAATCACACCGAATATGCCCAGAATCCCAAGAGGAGAATGGAAGAGAAGAAATTGTGGGGGTGATTTATCACTTTCCCTCTCACTTCTGCTCTCCCTCTCTGTCTGTCTCTGGCAAGCACACACACCCAATTGCAAAACTAAAACAAGTAAAATTAAAAGTAAGATGCTTATTGCTAACAGTATGACAAAAGAAAATGTACCTCCCCCACTTTAAAGAGTTTTTTATTGACTGTGCCCATTGGACAAGGAGAGAGAACACTGCCTGGTGGAGCATGGTTAGACTGCAGTCCATTTTCATCCTTTTCTCTTTTGTGTCAGGATTTTGGGGCATGCATGTATATGTATCCAATGAGTTCTTTTTTTTTTTAATAATTATTTTATTTAACTTTATTTATTCATTTATTTTAATTTGACCAGAGAAGAACAGAGCAAGGGATTGGGGGAGTGAGAAAGCAAGCCTCCAGGTCCAGGACTCGAACCATGGTCAGCCATGTGGGAGTCCAACGCCGTTAACCACCATTCCACCTGCCAGCCCTACATCCAGTGTGTAAAGAATCCCAGTCCTGCCGGGGCTGGGATTGGGATTGGGATTGGCCATGTGGAATCTGGCTTCCTTAACCACTGTGCTATGGACACAACTGTCCTCTCTCCTAACTTTTTTTTTTGAAGAGGTTTTTGCTATAGGGCACGTGCGCTCGCCGAGAGACGGAGAGACAGCGAGAAATCACCCCCTCAGGGGGGATGGCCATGCCGCAATCCCTTCTCCTCCAGTCTCCTCTTGGGATCTTAGGCACGCACTCACACGCGCCCGGCGTGAGTTTAAGCCACCGGGTCTGGGACTTGAACTGTGGTCAACTACATGGGAGTCCAGTGACATAGCCATTACGCCATCTGCTGGTCCCGTCTCTCCTAACTTCTGTTCCCACCCTGGAGAAGCACCAGGTGCCTTCTGAGCTGTCCTGTGCTCCAAGGGGGTTAGTCGTACCTTCAGGAGCACCTGCCCTGCTGGAAATGGTCACACGAGACTGGGCGGTTGTCACTGCTCTTCCCACTGGACCATGGCCGTTTCTCTTGGACAGTTGCCACGAGCTCACTTGTCCTGGGTCAGAGCTGTTTACTTGGTCCTCTCAGGTGCTTGTGGAATGAATGAATAAATGTAGGAGACTAAGTCTCATTCTGCAGTTTTTTTCCTCTTGTATAAGTACTCATCTTCCCTGGCCCTGTGTGAGCACATGCACGCCTCTGGGTTGCTCAGGGAGGCCCTGAGACTCAAACCATGGCCTTCCCTATGGGTGCAGCTAGGATACCACTGCACCATCAGTTGGCCCGTCTCTCTCTGTATCTAAGCACCCTTTTACGGTGGCTATTTTCTGACTTGAGTGTCCTAGAAGCACACCCCGCATTTTCTCAAGTAGGTAGCTGGCCACGTGGAGTCTGTCTCCCTTCTCTCCTAAGTTTTTGCTGTAGGCGCTGGTACTTGCTAGAGAGCTCCAAAGTCACCCCCACGGAGAGTGCTATGTTGTGACCGCCTCTCCTCTCGGATTTCGGGCTGCACGTGACTGACCTGTTTCCCAAGCTGCAGTGTCTGGGACTTTTTTTTTTTTTTGGAGAGGTTTTTGCCATAGGGTGCGTACGCTTGCCTGAAAGAGAGAGAGAGAGACAGACAGAAAGCGAGAAATCACCCTCTGGGAGGATGGCCACGTCACAATCCCTTCTCCTCCATTCTCTTCTTGGGATCTTGGGCATGCACGCACACGTGCCTGGTGTGAGTTTAAGCCACTGGGTCTGGGACTCAAACCGCGGTCAACTAGATGAGAGTCCAGCAACATAGTCATTACGCTAACTGCTGGTCCCAGCATCTGGGACTTGAGCCGCAGTCAGCTGTGTGAGATCTAGCTGCCTGAACCACCACACCACTGCTGAAGTACAAGGCTCGCCCCAATTTAGTCATTTTTAAGTTATCTCTAGACCTTTTCATCTTGTGAAACTGAAACTCTGTCCCTGATTAATACTAACTGCCCATTTGCCCAGCCCCAACCCTTTAACTTCTATTTTCTTTTGTAAGAACCATTTATTCAATTTCATTTATTATCATGATTATTTTAACTCGCTGTGGTCATCAGAGAGAGACACAGAGGGGCAAAATGAGAAAGCAAGCTGCCAGTACCAGAACTCAACTGCTGTTGGCCATGTGGGAGTCCAGTGTCCTAACCACAATGATGGCATTTTAAACTGGTCCCATCCTCCAGTTTATTTTCTGTCTCTGTTTCCTGTCACTATGAATTTGCCTACTCTAGATCCCTTATATAAAGGGAATCCTAACAATATTTGTTTTGTTTTTGGATTAATTCGTTTAACATTTTTTTTTAAATTTGCTTTCTTGGGACCAGCAGTTAGCGTAATGGCTGTGTCGCTGGACTCCCATGTAGTCGACCATGGTTTGAGTCCCGGACCCGGTGGCTTAGACTCACACCAGGCGCATGTGCGTGCATGCCCAAGATCCCAAGAGGAGAATGTAGAAGGGATTGCAGCGTGGCCGTCGCCCCGGGGAATGATTTCTCGCTTTCTGTCTCTCTGTCTCTGTCTGTCTGTCTGGCGAGCGCATGCGCCCTATAGCGAAAAAAACCTCTTCAAAAAAGAAGAAGAAAAAAATTTCCTTTCTTCCATGAGCAAGAGACAGAGACAAGCATCCCCAGCAGGGTCTTTAGCTGGGATCCACGCTAGCTTCCTCTAGGCCAGGTCACGGCATGATCTGCCCAGTGTATGCAAGGGTCTCTGGACAGAAACCTAACAACCTGGACCCTGCAGTGTGGCTGCCGGATATTGCTTGCCCGCTGCTCATCCACCTGGCCCGATGTGATGGCGTTTGTTTTCTTTCTTTCTTTTTTTTTTTGGAGAGGTTTTTGCCACCCATGCCACAGTCCCTTTTCCATTCTCTCTCGGGATCTTGGGCACACACGCACACGAGCCCAGCGTGAGTTTAAAACACCGGGTCCGGGACTTGAACCACGGTATAGTACATGGGAGTCCAACGACATAACCATTTTGCCAACTGCTGGTTCTGTGATGGCTTTTGTTTTCTATAGAAGCTGTAGGGTACGTGTGCCCGCAGAAGTGGAGACAGATGGGGAGAGGGAGCATGAGGAAGCACCTCCTGGGCAGATGGCCATACCACAGTCTCTCCTCTGTTCTCTTGTTGGGGTTTTAGGCATGTACTCACGTGTGCCTGGGTGTGATTTTCAGGCTGCCAGTCCAGGACTCAATCTGCATAGTCAGCCATGTTGGAATCAGCTGTCCCAACCACCATGCCACTTGCTGGTCCCTCTAACATAATGTTTTTTTTAGCTATAGGGCGCGTGTGCTCCCCAGAAAGATAGAGAGAGAGAGACAGAAAGCGAGAAATCACCCTCCCCCCCAGGTGCAATCCCTTCTCCTCCATTCTCCTCTCGGGATCTTGGGCACGCATGCACACGTGCCTGGCATGAGTTTAAGCCACCGGGTCTGGGACTCGAACCGCGGTCACTACATGGGAGTCCAGCGACATAGCCATTACACTAACTGCTGGTCCCCTAACATAATGTTTCTAAGTATGCCACCTATGTGTGTCATACTTCAGGACTTACTCTTTTTGAAGGCTGTGTGAATTCTCGGATAGGCCATTTTGTTTAATTCGTCAGTGGGCACTTGGGTGCGTCCATGTGTCACTGTTGTAAGTAATGCTCCATGAACACGCATGTGGGCACCTCTCTGAGACCCTTCTTTCAGTTCTTTTGGATGCATCCCCGGAGGTGGAACTGCAGGGTCATGTGGTAATTCTGATTAACCTTTGAGCAGTCACTTCACTTTTCCACAGTGGCTGGACCAGGTAACATACTCAGCAGTGGAGGAGGGTTACACTTCTCTCCATGTCCTTGCTAACTCTTGGTTCTATTTGTTTTTCAAGTAACAGCCATTCCAGGACCAGCAGATGACATAATGGTCACATCACTGGACTTCCATATAGTCGATCGCAGTTTGAGTCCCAGACCTGGTTGCTTTAAACTTACACTGGGCACATGTGCATGTGCGCCCAAAATTCTAAGAGGAGAAGGGATTGCAGCATGGCCATCCCCAAGGAGGTGATTTCTCACTTTCTCTGTCCCCTGCGAATGCATGTGCCCTATAGGAAAACTCTCTCTCAGAAAGAAAAAGTAGACATTCTGATGGATGTGAAGTAACATTTGATTGTGGGTCTGGTTTGCGTCTCCCTAAAGATGAGTGATATTGAACGTCTTTTCACGTGCTCATTGGCCATTATCTTTTTTTGAGAAATGTCTATTTAAATACTTTACCCATTTCTTGAATTGGAGTTCTTTTTTTCTCCCTTTTGTAATTGAGATTTATTGGTTGTGTAGAGGGTTGTGTACGTGCATTTCAATTTGTACCCAAGTTTGTTTTTTTTTTTTTTTTACCTAAATTGTTTCTTAGGTATGAATTTCACAAACATTTCTTAGACTAGCGGTAACAGTGGAGCTGGAGAGTATTGCGCCTTCTCTAAGCTGCATGGCGAGAGCTACCAATAGTGTGATGGAACTTGTGGCCCTTTCCAAGACCTCAGCGCCTGCAGATGTCAGCCACGCATCTCCCTGTGCTTGTGGACTGGTTTGGTATTCCACTGGGTGTCAGGGTTTCTTCTGATAGCTTTATGGAA